CAGCTGGGCTCTGGAGAAACCTCGTGCTTTGGCATAAAATGCTTTTCCTGGCCTTGAAGGGAGGGGTTGGCTCCTGAGCTGAAAACAGCAGAAAATAACAACAGATAAAGGTATTTTCTACATGGCCTTTTTTTTTTTTTTTTTTTTAACTTTCTAGGGAGATATTCTTTCAGAATAACTACTTTCTAACAAGTGTGCTCTTGTTCTATCAAATCTTAGGTCATCTACAGCTGTTACATGTATGAATATGCAATTGCTATGTTTATCAAGTCACAGCAATTTCCTATGCCTGCTCCCTTCTGCTGTGCCTGCTTTTAATATTTCAAAGCACTGAGCAGCTTCCTATAGACACTCTTTGTGGGTCATGTGGCCATCCCAAGCTCATGACAACAGATTTTTAGATGGCTTCTGATAGTCCTGTACTTTGTGAACCTCTCACATTAGCATGAAATAGATGAACCTTGGTCTTGTAAGCATTTATGATTTTTTCTTTCAGTTTGTTCATTTGAATCTCTTTGGCACAGCAGCATTTGCTTGCAATGTTGGAGCTCTGTGTTGTAACCCCTTTTATTACTTAATCTTGCCTATGTTAGTTGGTGGTATGCTTTGTCAGTAATACACTGAACTTGAGTGTGTTTGTTTAGAAAAGTTCAGGACTATTACAGGTCTGACACTTCAAACTGTTTGAATGTCAGTTCCAAATTTGAGGTCAGAATGGTCACCACAATATTCAAACAACATGTGGTGTACATTACAATAAAATATCAGAGGGTGTGACTCTATGGATTAAATACTGGTGCTATATAAGGCATTAAGAACACAGGGTTTGCCACATAACATAGCTTTTGTTCTACACCACAAAAGAAATGCTGTTTTTCTTGCTGTATTGGAAATTACCTGTCATTAGAGGTACCATATGTGGAGCGGTTTTTGTATCACTGGTAGAAGTGAGAATACAAAGCCTAAGTTTTGTTTTGGGCACCTCCGTTCAAGAAAGACATTGAGGCCCTGGAGCATGTCCAGTGAAGGGCAATAAGGCTGGTAAAGGATCTGAAACCTGAAATACAGTTCATATGGGAAGAGCCTCAGGGAACTGGGATTGTTTAGTCTGGAGAAGAGGAGGCTCGTGAGAGACCTTATCACTCTCCACAAGTCTGTGAAAGGAGGTGCTGGTGAGGTGGGTATCAGCCTCTTCTCTCAGATAGCAGTGATAGGATGAGAGGGCATGGTCTCAAGTTGCTCCAGAGGAGGTTCAGGTCGGATATTAGGAAACATTTCTTCTCAGAAAGAGAGGTGAGGCACTGGCACAGGCTGCCCAGGGAGGTGGTGGAGTCACCATCCCTGGAGGTGTTCAGGAAATGTTTAGATGTGGCTTTGAAGAATGTAGGTTAGTGGGCATGGATTAGGGTTGGGCTAGATGATCTCAGTGGTCTTTTCCTATCATTTTCTTAATGATTCTGTGATTCTAAATCCACTCTAAGCGATCAGTGAGCTCCAGCTGAGGCCTGTGGCTGCGATCATGAGAGGTAGAAAATACCAGCCTGTTCAAAGTAGATATTTGAGATGTTTCCTAGGTAATTAATTGCAATAATTACTTTCACAGGCCAGCTTTCATCTGTTAAAGGCAGGGCACCAACACAGTTCTTCCTGGAGTAGATCTCTTCTGCTGCTCAAAATGGCTCCCACCCGTCTGGTTGTATGCCTTTACTGAAGCCTGACTCAACTCTGCCAAAGCTGTTGGGAGGCTTCCCACTGCTTTCCAGTTGTAAGCAGTAAGTCTGAGCCTTTCTCAACATTTAATAATAATTCCTCCACTCAAGGAAAAACAAAATTGTATTCCAAATATTTAGATTGCTAAAGAAAGGCATGTAGTAGTATTTTCCACAATATCTTACACAGACTCAGCTCAGTGTGCAGGAAAAGGCTCATGCCTGTGTTCCCATAGGATGCTAGAAGAAATCATATGGAACAATTCCTTTCCGTGAGCTAGGACCAGAGAGTGTTTACATACGCTTGTGACTGAGACATCATTTTGCAGGAAGGGTGGAAGATGATGATCCTTTCTGTATAAAAAGAGTTCCAGCTTGAATCTGCAAGATTCAGAGGGCTGGCTTCTGGTGCTTTCTTGAGTGAATGAGCGTTAGGGTGTAGGAGCAGGTGTTTTGCTTATCTTCTGTTGTTTGAGGATTGGGACTTACATGACTGAAGTCCTCCCTGTGACAGACGGACTGCTTGCAGTGAGGTTTCCTGGGCTGGGCCCAGCACCCTGTTACTCAATGCATTCTCTTCTGGCTGTGCTGGTGGGACAGGGAGCAAGAGATGAGGACTCTGGCTGAGACACAAACACAGAGCTGTGGGCAGGCCAAGAGGGCTGGTGTGATTGATACTGCTAAAATGGGAGTCCCGAGGAACTCAGCATTGCACTCATTTATATTATGTCACATTTATATGGACGTGTTAAAATAAGTGGCTTTTAGAAGCATTTGCTGATGGAGCTGCTGATTTGAGCAGGATTATATCCCATTAAGCACCCAAAGAATGCCTTTGGCTATTTTGCAGACTCAACCTCTGGTGTTAGATCTTGCGACCTATACCCATTTGTTACCGTGACTAATTTTTGTACCTGTGTGAGCTGACTTTTTAGAGAGCCATGCTTAGAGGCAGGTTTTGGGTCCTCCTGGAAAACGCTCTCCTGCCTTTTAGGTAAGTTCAACACCTCAGTGTGGCATAGCCACAGATGACTGGGAAGCGGAGATTTAGCTTGTGGCCAAAACCGAGGACAATTCAGGCAACTCGGTACTGGAGCCCGCGGCTCTAGCAGCAGTTCCGATGCATCCATCGGGCTAAAATGGAAGCGGGTGGGGGGACGGCTGCCGTCCTCTGTTCCCCCGTCACATCCCGCAGAGCCCGATGACCGGCCCGGCCCAGCAGGGCTCAGGACTTGGTGGAGGGACGCCGGGGGTGCCGCTCCTCCGCCGGGTGCCCCGCCGCCCTCCCCCGCGAAAGCTCCGCGGGTCCCCCTCCACCGCCCCTGCGTCGTCCGCCCTGCCTGCGGCGGGGTGTGTGTGTGTGGGGGGGGAAACAGCCCCACAAAAGGGCTCGGGCCGCTCCGCACGCCCCCGGGCACACAGACACGCGCGCACGCGGGCACGCACGGACACACGCGCATGCACATACACGCGCTCACACGCATGCACACACACGCGCACACACACATTCACGCCGCTATGTGCGATGCGCGATGCGCGGCGTGAGGCACCTCGCACGCCCCGGGGCCGGGGGGAGCCCGCGGGAGCCGCGCCGCCAGCCCGCCCGCCCCTGCCGCTGTCGAGCCAGCCGCCAGCCTCCTCCTCTCCCTCCTCTCCTTCTCCTCCTTCCTTTGTAATTTGCGCTAACTGTAGCTCCCCGAGCCCTGAAAAAATGCCTGCCCGTGGAGCGAGGAGAGGGCACCGGGTCGGTAAATAAGAAGTGAGTACGAGCACAATGGCGTGCCTCCCCGCTCCCAGCCCTGCGGATGCTGCATGCGCTTTGTACCTTGCCTGGCTGCCCTCCCCTCCTGCCCTCCCCGCTCCCGGTCCCTCGCCGCGCTTCGCCCCCGCCCCGCGGAGCATCCCCGGCCGCGGCGGCTCCCCGGGCGCCCAGCACCGGCCGCGAGGAGCGGGCGACGGGGACGGCGGCGGTGCCCGGTGCCCGCTCCTTTGTTCGCCGCGGCGGGGCCGGCCGGGAGGGAACGGCGTCGGCACCGGCCCCCGTGGGCTCGGGGGTCGCCGGGGGACAGCGCCGGTGTCCTTCCCTCCTGCCGGTGCCCGGCCCCACGGCAAGGCGTGGGGCGCGGGGATGCCGTGCCCATCCCCGGATGGGTGAGGTTGGGGGTGTCGGTGGGGTACGCCCAGCCCCCGGGGGTGGGCAGCGGTGTGCGGGGCGCGCAGCCTTCGGCTGTGAGCGGGGTCAGGGTGAGCCGTCCGCTCGGGTGTGGGCAGGCTGTATGGTGCCCGGGGTCGCCTTGGCCTGGGCGGGGGGCTACCTTGCTCACCCGCGCCCCGTTCCCTGCCCAGGGGTGCCCCTTCGTGCCGGTCAGGTCCCAACCCCGCAACATCTCCTTCTAGCTTTACGGCTGGACTCTACCCACTGACTGTGGAGAGCGGTGTTGCGGCCATTTGAAATGTAATTCCGAATAATTTAAATATAGCTTCTGCAGTCAGCTGCCGTGGCCATCATCCCACAGGAGACCTTAACCTGCACTTGATGTGGCGGATTTTTTTAGTTCCCGTGTAGTTGCTGGTAGTCACATGAGTTATAGAGGTACTTGATAACACACTCAGCTGCTCTTTTCCTAACCCTGTGGGTTTTTCTAACTGTAAATAAAAATACACACTTTAACAAATGGTTGACTTTTCCTGTAAGTACACGTGTGTCTTACTGGTATTTTCTGAACAGTTTAATCAATATGCAATTAACACTCTATGGCCGGTATGAGGAACAGCGTCTCGTTTTTATGGTCGTGTCTGGGGAGTTGCAAAGTGATCGTGCAACTGCTACAAGAGGGCTCTTGTTGGAGCACAGGACAGAATAGGCACAAGAAAGAAGGATTTGTGTTTTTATGCTACTTCTGTAATGCTGAGGAAATACAGCCGGAAAGCTGCTTAGCAGTGCTTAAGGCAGCAGAGGATGTAAAGAATCTCTGCAGTAAAATGCCACCTCACATGAATTTAAAGAGGTGCAACAGTGTAGGGGGAATCTTGCATTTTGCAAGCAATTGAGTGCAGTAAGGGGATGTAGACACAGAACATGTTGCAAATGTGCACAAGTGTAAATGGATAATACTACTCTGAGCAACAGAGTTGTAACACAGTTTGAGGTTTAATTGAAAGATTCAAGTCTGTAAGAATTGTAGTTGGAAGGAGCAGAATCTCTGCAGTCTGTTAGTGAAAAGGGAGCTCAGTGAACGTAATCTGACCAGCCCCGTAAAAATTAACTTTCTTTTTTTTCTGTTTTGTTAGTGGCGGCACCTGACTTGCTGGATCCCAAATCGGCCACTCAGAACTCCAAACCGAGATTATCATTTTCTACCAAGCCTACCGTGCTCTCTTCACGGGAGGAAAGTGATTCAGCTATCAATGTTATGAAATGGAAGACAGTCTCAACAATTTTTCTGGTGGTAGTCGTGTATTTAATAATAGGAGCAACGGTGTTTAAAGCCCTGGAGCAGCCTCATGAAACCTCCCAGAGAGCCACCATTGTGATTCAGAAGCAGACATTCGTATCTCAGCATTCCTGTGTGAATGCGACAGAGCTTGATGAACTGATTCAGGTAATCCTTACAAAATCCTTGTCACTGTGCCTTAGAGGAGTGATATATGGCAGCACTGCAGAGGTGCAGGGGGAAAACTCTTAGCCAAGCTCCATGTTGGCCAAGCAGAGTAACAAGTGGTGAGACCTGGAGTTGAGCAATAGCGTTTTCATGCAAAGCCTCATGGTGGAAAAGCTACTGCTATTTTTAGGTCCCGTGCATTTGGTAGACAGCCTTTTCATTGAAGCCTCCCATTATGGCAATTAAATGATTATTAATCAGCAATATATATAATTAATAGTTCACAAAGGAGTTGATTCGTGCCTTACTAGATGTGTCAATATTTGAGAAGCCCAATTCTGAAGAAGAAAATACACCATCCGTTGCCTTAAACGAGTTCTAATTTACTGTGATTGTATCAAGCTAGCTTTTCTCTAGATGTATGTTTCTTTTTATTGATTCAGTTTTAAGTACAGGAAAGCACTATGCGCTTGCTGTTTTGATCTTAAATCTCAATTTTCTGCACTTTTTAAAGGCACATACCCAACTGATGTAAATCAATGTGTTTCTACTAACAGAACTTTACCCTTGCAGGTCACCTGGCTCAGAATAATAGAAAATAGTTACTTGCAGTAGTGCAGAACTGGATCAAGAGCCTCATGAGGCCCTTTCCCACTTAAATCCCAGGTGTCCGTATTCTGATGGCTGTCCAGTGGCGCTGCAGGGATTAGGGAGGGGTGGCCAAAAATTCTGGCAGTGGGAAGATGGACTGAACAGCCAAAGGATGGCCAGGATCACTCCCTTTGTTCACTGGGAGCTGTCTGGGGAGATGGGAAGAGGGAGATGAGAATGGGGGGTCACTCAGGTGCTGCAGAACATGGCAGTGGCCTGTGCAGCATGGCCTTCCAGAGGTGGATTTTAATATCAGATCTGGCGGGGTGTTTAGAATTTGAGTTTAGCCACATAGACCAATCTGCCTTGAATATAGATTGTTCCAAAAGTGGCACCTTTTAAATGACTGTCCAGCAATTCCTATCTCCGTGTGTCCTGACTAGACATGCCTGAGGAGGTGCTGTTGGTATGAACGCTTTCAGTGCTGTGTAAAAAATGCATTTCAGTGGTTTTACCAGCAGAATGTGAGCTAATCTTACAAAGAGATATACACACACTTTCTGATTAAAAATAATGTCTTGTAGCTAGCGTAAATATCCCACATGAAATTTTTAGGTCAGATCCAGCACTGGTGGAGATAAAAATAGAAATATTGAAGCAATATTATCTTACATCATCTACGAGATGGTCCTTAAGGCAAAAAAATGTTGAAATTTGCTCTTGAGTACTTAGATATTTTAGCGTTAATAATTCCCTACCCAGCAGCACAGATTGGTAGTAGAAAACCACTTCATCAGCATTCAAAGTCCATTTGATGTTATCTGTAAAATCAATGTGAGTTTTGGCATGGTTATCAGTGCTCAGATTCTATAACAGAATTAGTTTCCTTCTTTGCTAGTGATCTTTGTGTGGCCAGGAAAGACAGAAGCCTTTGAGGCCTTTGAGGCTCAAAACACAGCCTCCCACATGTGAACACAAGGAGGTTTTTTTGGGAAGAACTCGCTCCTGCTTACTGATGGGTAAATATAAAGTTTAATTTTTGCTCCATTCTGCTGATCAGACCCCCTCCTCAGCATTATAAAGACCAGGGCATGGAGGTAGGAAGGCGCTGGTGTTTGGCTTACCCAAAACAAAATAGGAAATCTGTGCTAAAGCAGCATCTCAAATCAATTTTTCCCAGCCAAGGCAGCTACCATGACCATGGGGGTCAAATTACTTCTCACTTTGTCACAAAAAGCTGAATTGGTGGATAACATTCTATTTCCCAGGGCTAATATCTGACTGTTAGTATAGGATAATGCAGTTTACACTGGATGTCTGCATGATTAAAAATAAATAATATGTGTGAAGAAAAATAAATTATATCTAAGGAATCACTGAAAGATACAAATCTGAAAGTGAATAGGTGCTACTGTAGTAGGAAGCTGGAATGCTTAATGTATGTGAAGAAAACTACAAATCTACAGGTTATAATGTCTTCTTTAATCAAGTATTTACCTTAAGTCAAGCTATAATAAAATTCATTATAAACTTTTCCTTTCAAACTTAACATTCTGGGAATTCAGGAACTAGTTTATGCTAGTCATTGCTCAAGGTGCTTATCATACAAGGCTTTTTCAGTCCTCACAATTTTGGATCTGCCACTGAACCCATTTGAGCATCCCAAGACTCTGAAGGGACAGTGTGCTCTGTGGTGGCTAAGCCAGGTGAGCAACTTAGGAAAACTACTTTGAGAGAGCAAATTCAGCCGAAAACATTTGTGCAAGTGGGATGACAATCAATTCACTAGCACACCAGGGCCATTTCCTTTCCATCATCTTTGCTAAAATCTTCCCTTTGCCCCAGAGCTGATTACAGCACATAAAGTTGTGAGCTTTTAGAAATATATGGAGGATAGGGAGTTTTCACTTTCTGCATTCTCCATCCTTGTGGGTATTATTTTTTTTTAACTGGTCACCCAAATCCTTCCTGCCTCGGCAATATATACTATTGCATATATCCCAGCACGCGGAGCTTTACTGCTTGGGTTTTGATTTCTTGAAACTATGTATTTTCACACTAATTGTGTGGCTACTCTAAGTGTACTCAATAGGAATTATACTTTCATATTATTGATATACCTATACCTATGAAACGGGTCAATGGAGAGCTTCTATGCAGCCCAGAGAAACATGCAAAGAGAACAAAATAGTGTTCTGCAATTGGTGGGCAAGCAACTTCAACCACCTCACAAAGTCACTTGAAATTTCCTTTTAACTGTTTGGAGGTCAGCCCAGTCAGCATCTGTTGGCAATGAGGTGGTCTTCATGACCTCTCCTGATTTCCACGGTCTCATGCTGCAAACCTCTTTCATTGCAAACTGCTTCACTTCTTTGCTGCCTCACTGTAATGAATACACCTGAAATGAACAACAGCAATGTGTGACCCTGAGACCTGATTTCCAAAACGTCTTTTTTTCCTTTTTTTTTCTTTTTTTTTTTTTATTTCGTGAACACTTCTATTTAGTACTGACCTTAAAATGTGCACAAGCCAAGTTGAGGATATCTACACACACTAGAGACCATTTTTTTTAGACAATTTCAATGCCTTTTGCTGAGGCCTGAAGCCAATATTAACAATACTAAGTGGATCACTGTGTGCTGTAGTGCACAGTGTTAAGAGATGCTGTAAGTATAATCTACACCTAAAGAAATATCCCATGATTTAATCTTGTGGACACACAAACATTGCCTGGGTGAGTCTGATTCTCATCAACTGATCAGCAAGCTCTGTGTTAAATGTGGGCTTTTCAAATTTCACCTGGAAGGTCTTGGGAGGGTCTCAGTTATTAACTGATAAGGAAGTGTTGGTTTGTTGAAGGTTATGTATTGTATCTCACATTAGAAAGCTGTAAAAGAGGCTATGTCCAGAAACTTTGCTACTAAGAACTCTTGTCAATTTTCATGGATGTTTTTTCAGTGTCTCTATCCATGCCCACTCACAGCTTGGTCCTGAAATGCAGCACAGGTGACAGAATAAATCTGATTTTTTACATCTGTTGGAACAATGTTTTTTTCTCATCAGTGAGATTTTGTGACAGAAGCTGATAGAAACCTGGGAGTAATCCAAGGAACAATAGAAATTAGAGACTTAAAAAAAAAAAATCTCTTAGTTGAGCACTTGTATCTTTAACTATTTCATCCTGGTTTCAGTTCTCTTTTAGTGTGTGGGCTGTTCCCTCTGCTAAGCTTACTACTAAACTTTTGAAAATGTTGGAACCATTTCCAAACTCAGATGCACAAAGTACTGCCAAGTACCTGGAAGAATCTCCTGCTGTGTTCATGCACCCGTGCGTAGCAGCCACCGTGTGTGTGTACACCTGCTGAGATCATGATGTGCTTTGGGGCTAAGAGTTGGTCTCTGGGGACAGGTGAGCTGGACTGAAGTTGTTATCCAGCAGCTCTGTAAAACTGCCATTCCTACTGGTACATACATCTCATTCCCCTTCTGAATTTGTTGCCCCCCTAGAAATCATGTTTTTCCTAGAAAGTAAGGATGTGACTAGTATTGTGTGTCATGGGCTGTCCTGGGAATGAGGTGAGCATTCGTCCTTCTGCCAAAGAGAAAGCTGATTGGAAAACAAGAAAAAAGCTTTTTATATGAATAACAGCTAATTATGTATAACTCAGCAATTACCTGGTTCAGTGTTGGCCTTTATAAACCAAAATGAAAAAAAATCCACTTCTCCCCAAGCATCTGATTGTGTTTTGTATTATCATAAAAAATGGAAATTAAGAAAATTTCAGTTAAATTATTTTAATTATCTAAAGCATCCTAAGAAGCTGGTGTGAATTATTTTAGATATCTCAGTTACTTCTCAAACTTAATAAAAAAATTAAAGATACTCTGAAACTAAAGTTAATAACAGAAAGTAACCAATTCTTGGTTCTTTTAGCAGAAACATTCATCAAATCTGTTTATTCTGAAAACCCTAACAAGTGGAAAAAATAGTATCAAAATTAACAGGATGATCTTTTAGTGTGTTCCTTGTAGTGCTTGTGATTTTTAGAAAGCCTTCATTTCAGAATCCAAGCAAGCTTTCAGAATGGTGCACCAAACTGTCCCAGCAGTAGAGGAATTTGTAGAGTTTAAATCCAACCCCTTTTGGAGTATGTGGCTTCCTCTGACAAGTGAATGCCCACAAAAATGTTCTTACATTTTTAGAAGAAATAAAAGAATTAATGAGCTGCCAAAATTAGCTGTATTGACCTCGATCCCATGAGTTCATCTCTTTGGGCTCTGCACAGGCTTTGTGGTTAACATAGAAGGAAGCTGTCTGGGTCAGGGTCCATACAGTTGTGTTCCTTGACTACTTCCATTCTGTATTTTCATGTACTGAATTCTGTCTTTACTTTCTATTCATCTTTTAG